TCCTAAAACAAGTGTATTAAATATGATACGTGTGATCAGAACAAATTTATTTTTGTAGAATTCGCAAAGAATTTATTTTTCTTCTCGTATGACGTTGAACTAATGGTTCATATAACCAGAGAGCTGTGAAAGATTCAAATACTCTATAAACATCTATTTTTCTTTTAGGCGCTCACATAACCAATTTTTGTTAAGCAAATATTGACTATAGTGAAATACTAATAGGTAATTTTTGAAGCGTATTTTATGTAGAGGCCAATCGCAAATATCAAGCCGCCTTTGATATCTGCTTCAAACTTGAAAAAATCTTGAAGAATTGAAAACAATTTTTGTAGGAAATGTAGATGCCACTTACTGAATCACAAAGAAAATAAGAAATTTGTAGAAAATTGAACTTTGCAACTTGATAAGATAGTGAGGATCTTGTCATATTTCTTCGTTTGAATAATTGCCAAAAATTGAAATATCTATTGAATCATAATAAAGAGAACAATATAAGCAGCTCTATGCATTGAGATGAGCATTGATCTGTGGAGCAAAATTTTTGAGAACAGAATTTAATCAAATGCCTTAATATTCACGATCAGCTCTCAAACTGCCGAAATATTTGCTCTTTTAGTACTTACTTCCTATATTATTAATAGAGATATAATAGAGAAAATTTGTTATTATTTGTAGTCTTTCAAATTTATAATGTCTCGTTCTTATTTATGAGACTTATGGAATGAATACTGTTAATGCGTGTCCCATAACTAAATTTGACATTGAGCAACCAATACAACTGATACAACTATAATACACATTTTCAAGTAATGTTTGCTTTAATTGTAAGATGTTTGAAGATATTACTTTTTATTGATTCGTCAAGTTTTTTTATCGAAACACAAAACGAATTGTTAATACATAAAGATATAAAGTAAAGCATTTCTTATTATACTTCATGTTATCACATATGAATAAACTTGATCAAACGAAGTACTTCTAAAGCTATTCGTATTTGTTCGAATAGACAAACGAAACCATTGTTTCTTTCTTTAATTATATCATATTACTTCTTCGTATCACATTTCAAAATCGTGCAACTTAGAAAAATTACTTTTTATTTTCAAAGAGCAAAAACAGATAAAGTTCAAGAATAGATGTATATCAATCTAATATATAAGATGATTTTTCTATCGAAATCTATCAACATCTTTGTCTGATATATAAAATATAAAATGAATAATCATTCGTATATATACATAATACATAAAAATAAATATCAAATGTAAATATATTTTGTTCATTAAATACATCAAACTAGGTTGATATTACACTTATCAAAGCATTTATTAACATGTAAGGATGTATTTTAATCAGTACAGTAGTATTACAGGATTCCGGTATATAATTGTCAATGAAGCCTTGAAAAGAAATGATCGTTTGAATCTTCAATGTGCAAATAAAATTGCATAGATATGAACATATTGTAACAAGATCCACAAACGATTTGTTTAATCGGTAAGTTTCATATAATCAAAGAAAATAGAATCACTAAACATTAAATATGTTTAATTCATTTTTAATGTAACACATTTTCATATCGGTCTTTTCTTTTCTTTTTTTTTTTAAATTTTACGATTACTCGAGAATGAAATGTATTTATTGTTCAAGAATATGAAAAAAAAAAGAATCAATTTAATCTTATTTGCTCATCTTATTATACATATCAATCAATCAATTTTACATTAAAATTTGTTCACTTCAAGTTTCAATGACATTTATTGTAACGATAGCCTACAAACGAAGGACTTTACTTTCTACAATTCAATTGCATGAGAAAAAAATAACCTTCAACGTAATTTAAACGTTGTTAAATCATATACTTGTCTTTGCCATTCTCTAATACATCCTGAAGATAATCATTATCAAATGTCATTGTATACGAGTAAATGCGAAAATATATTCTTACATAGGAATATAAGGACATTTATGATTATTGTTCATCTTCATGATATCATTTTTTGTTCGATATTCACAAATTAACTAGCAAACTTGAACATTATTCATTCGCATCAACATATATTGTTCATTGACCAATATCATTAGTATTGACCAATGTTATATTTGTCTTGAAACTTTGGTCATATATATATATATATATATAAATATATATGTATATAAAGACGCGAAAAGTGAGATGTGGGCATAAAAAAAAGAGAAGGGTAACATCAGTAGTATAAGCAATAAGGTTTTTTTTTTTGTTCTCTGTCCTTTCTCCTTCTTCGTTGTCTTCCCAACTCTGTAACACATATACACATAAATCACAGTCACTACATCATCATAGTTTCGTTCTTCTTCTTTTTTCTTTTTTTCTTTGCACTATTCGCCTCTTTTTAACCCGTCATTTATTCATTTCCATTCGTACCCTTGGCATCGATAACATTTATATGATTCAACTACGAAAAGTAAGAGAACGAAAGAACAGAAATATATATGAGACTAAAAAAGATAAGGACTTCTAAATCGATTGGAAATCGTCAATAGGTTTTATAATTGAATAAGTTTTTTTTGTTTTTCTTGACTTTTATTCATTGTTAAAAAAAAAAGCGCAGAGTACATGACATGAAATGTCAGTATGTACATACAGAAAAGAATTTCTCTTTTCGATTAATTGTCTATTTTGACATAAAACAAAAAAAACAATAAGTATGTCTAGTCATAAGTTTTGTTTTATTTAAACAATTGATTGAATAAAATAGACAAGGAAAAATATATATGATAACAATGTATTACCGTTATATAAATGTATTGGATATTTTTAAATTAGTAAGATTTATTTTATTTTATTTTCAGATTAATTATGGTGTAATATACTGATATATAGTGGTCTATACGTACGACCATGAATTTTCCATGTGGACCGTTAGATACGATTCAATTAATTGCACTTATTTTATTTGGACTTCTTACTTTGCAATGTTTGTTAGGCATTGGTCTAGGAATTGGGTTTCTTGTTCAGCCACCATTGTATAATACTGTTGTTAATCTTAATTCTGCTTTTGGTAGACAAACATATTTTTCCATTTATGCACGTTAGTATATAAACCAATATGAAATTAAACAATCTATTATTAAGATGAATTTTTCATTTTAGCTCATATTCTTTTAATAATCGGTAGTGGTTTAGTTGCTATACCAATTATTTTGGGTATATTTGGTATATTACGACGTCGCTGGCGTTATTTAATGATTTGTCTTGCTTTACTATCACTTTATATGGCATTTTTATCAGGTGCTGTTGCATCAGGTTTTGCTTATTATGATCAACTTAAACAAAGTCTTCAAAATGATACTATAAATTATTCAACACATCTTATTTGGACAACAATTCGTTCAACATATAATTGTACTATCAATAATTGTGTTTCAACATTAGATGATATTATGCATGCAAATAAACAACGTATTGGAATTATTTCATCGGTTTTTCTACTAGTACCATTATTAACAAGTATTACTATTATATTTCATATGCGTCGAGATGTTCTTTACTTTAAATAATGGTACACATATAGGCATACAAACATAAAAGTACATATATTCTTGAAGGTCATAAACCTGCTTTACCCTTACTCTCGTCCTTTTTTATGATGATGCTTTTTCTTTTGCTCTCTTTCTATGCAATACGGTGTTAGATTTGTATAGGTATATGCGTCTATGTTATTCACCTGATGAAATATACATAACTATTAAAATTGAATAAAACAAGAGAGGAAAAGATGTAATACTTTTCTCTCTGTCGTTAGTGCTTACTGAACTAGTAATTGACCGTGATATTAAAGTTTTTTTCTCTCGAGTGCTGATGTAATAATATATACAAAAAAGAAAAATGAACAGCTTAATGTGTGACATCGAGAAATGGACCAAATAAAAGCGAACGGCAACTTGAGAACTATACTTATATATATATATGTATATATATACATATGTGTAAATTTTAACTTCTTTTTTACTTTCTTTATTCATTGAACAATAGTAATACTAGACAAGAGTTGTCATCATGAATATTTAAAAAAAATCTACATTTTTTATTTATATATACACAACACATACCTCATCTATTCAAATTTCTATTGTCAAGTTGAATTAATTTAAAAAAAGAGTTTATTTGACAAAATGATGTCTTACGTGATTGTCCGAACTAAACAATTTGATTGATTTGATTGATATTGTATAATATGAGTGTAAAGTATAGATGACTATTATAGAGTAATCTTATGAAAATGTCATAGAAATTCTTTTGAACTCAATTTGTAAGATGACATATACATGATTCATCAAAATTAATTACTTTTATAAATACGATCAATATGAGTGTTTGCTCTGTTTTTTTAAAGACATTCGTATGTTCAGCTTTGTCTTTGTACTAGTTTTGACTATTCTCAAAGATATGAAATAATGGTTTATTATCATACTGTAAATTTTATCGATACTGATATACGTCTAGACAGTGTAGTTCATATATCATTGAACATATATGTAATTTCTTTTATCAATAAAATAATATGCATCAAATTATTTTTAAGTTTTTTGTACTGTCTTCTTTTATCGTGACAACAACCTAAGGAGTTATCGTTTTTGTTTCTTTTATCTAACGTTTACTTCTGATACACATCAATGTGAATCTTATCAGCTCAGACAGCTAAATTTTAATGCTCGAACTAAGTAGTGAGTGATACAATGACACGATTTATGCAAATAAGCATACGAAAATATCAATAGAATGTTTCATATGGATTTCATGTTCTATACTACCATGATGACTAGGATTAAAGTGTATGCACGTCATTTTCTTATTGTTATCAAAAGCACTATAATCAGTATGGACACTAATACAACTGTATTTATTCATAAAGTACTAAAACAACGATAAACTGTATGATTGTGATTAAACATCGTTTTGATTTCCTTTCTATGTCTTTTGCGAGAATAAAACAATACATATAACATAAAAAGAATTATTTTGGTCGATTAGCACTTTCCTTACTGACGGCACTTTCGTTGGTTAATGGTTGTGATTGAGTAGTTCGAGAATTAGGAGCATCATTTGATGAATTTCTTTCAGCAGATATTTTTTGAGCAGATACGTTTGAAACATTACCTGGAGCTGTATATACGTCCTTGTTAACTTCTTCAACTGTTTTATGATGAACCGGTATATCGGAATGATCTTTAATTTGATTTTCATCAAATTTTGGAGGCCATAATTGCGAATTGTCAGCCATTGCCGAGGTAGAGCAGTATAAAAATAATAAGAACGTAGAAAATTACAAGTGTATGTTGTGATTGTTGCCAAGACAAAATGATTCTTTTTTTTTGCCAATAGAAAAGAGGAAAGAAGAACGAGAGAATTACTTTAACAGAATCATGATAAAAAATAATAGTTTGTTTTCTTTGGCTTTGAATAGTGTCGTACTTTGTATCAAATCTTTTTCTAAAGTATGGAAATCTTTGAAAACATGGACACATTATAACTATATAAGCCAGCAGCTTATATTCAAAGTATTGATATCAATAAACGATTCTAAAAGACTTAAGCTATGTCTTTAAAAAGAATATTCTCTTTCAATCTAAACGTATTAATTAATATCTTAAACAAAGATCGAATTCGAATATAATCGAATGAGAGAACTCATCTATGTAATGACCAAAAATCAAATTTCTATCTGCTCAGCAGAAATTATTTTCTATCTTTTCTGATGATTTTTATCAATATAAAAACAAAGTAAAACAATATAATCTTCTTTTCAACACACACATGCACTATCCTCGAATTTTATCAAGATTGTTGATTAAGCCAACCTTGGCGAGGTAAATTAAGTTGTCGTTGAAGTCGCATTGCATCACGTCGTTCACGTTCACTTAATTGTTTCAGTTTCATAGTTGATGAATTGCTAAGAGTAGATGATGTTCTTGTAGGATTCAAATTAGTTGTCGAATGTGTACTAAAACGAAGTGTTGATGATTGTTGAGCAGATTTAGCTGTTTGTGGACGTGCAATGACTAGAAATAATACAAAATCGATCGTATAAAAAAAAAGAAAACAAGACTATAAAAAAAAAGTAAACTTGGCTCAGTTGTCGGTGATGGTATAATCTCTGATTCATCAGAAATATCAGAATGTTCTGATTGACGTGATCCACCCTTATTGAAACAAAAAAATATTTAATCTATTATTTATTCAACTAGTTTTATAAAACTTACTGAAGTAACAAGTGCTCTTTGATATAACGGTGAATAATTAGTTGTTCGTTGAAAAAATTCTTTTCCAGCAAAAACAAAATAAGGCTTTGCACGACTTAATGGACTACCAAGATGACGTATAATATGATCAGCAGAAGCTGGTCGATAAAGATGTTTTGTTGCACGCGGTCGAACGCTTGCTGATGAATTTCGATTTGCAATAATTGGTGGTTTACGTATTTCATTCTACAAAATACAAGATAGCAAAAAAATACTCTACCTCTGAAATAAAACATAAATGTCATTACTTGATGATGGCGAAGCATGTTATTAAAAATTTGTCTAGAATTTTGTCCGCGTATTGGATCAATATGACTCTGTTTAAGGAACGGTTGAAGATATGTATTTCTAAAAGAAACAATACATTATTTTTTTCTTTTATTAAATCAAAATAGTTCTTTTCATACCGAATAGCCGCTTGGACATGTACTTGTTGTTCTTGTAGATTTTCTTGGCTTGTTGTTGAGCTTGCAAGACTTAACGTTTGCTAGAAAAAAAATTGTATATTTTAAATTTAAGATTGTTTTGAAGAATTTCTTTACTTTCGATACAATTTCATCATCATCGGCAATCGTCACTGTTTTTTTTGCCGAAGAGCGTGTTGTTGTTTTCTTTTCAAAAAAAGCATTTCGTTCAATTTCAGGGTCAATACCTTGAAATGATCAAATAAATGTATTAAATATGAAATATAATAATATGAACTTACCAATGACTCGAGCTAAATGAGCAGTAGCTGTTTCATCACCACGCCAGGCACTACAAACAGAAAAAGTACACTGATATGTTTATGATAAATAATGATGATTTTCTACTTTTTTGCTAAAAGAAGAAGACAGTTAAGTTGTTGAGTTAAACTTTGAATTTCTTCTTTAGCTGCACTCAATTCTTCTTGTAAATCTACTTGTGATACCTCTTCAACTGGTACTGTTACTTCATTCATATTCATTAATTAAAATTAATTTGTGACTAATCATGAAAAGAATGTTTTAGGTTTTAAAAATGTACTAGACGCAAACACACATACGTGTCAAGACAAATTTGTGTATAATATTTTAAGACGACAAGAGAGAATGAAATAACAATTTTTTAAAGTTTTTACTTATGTGAATGTGTGTATGTGTGCACGTCACCATGTTGCCAATGGTGGTGGCAGTAATGGTGTTTCGAGTTTTTCTCTCTTCGCTCTTCTTTTCTTCCAACAGCTCTTGTTTATTTTTCAAGCGTAATACGGTATGAGACTGGTACATAAAAATTTGCTGTCATTTGTTCATTATTCTTCGTTTCTTCTTTGCTTTTATTTGAAAGAATGTGTATGTATATTTAAGAGAGTGACTGAGATTTTCTTTTTTCCACTTAAAACAATTTAAGTTTAAGAACAATTATGATCTCGGCATCAGTTTTTGTTGTTCACAAACATCATCAGTTACAATCAAAACAAAAATAAATATTAGATATCATCAAAGATTATCAATTATCAACAAGATATTCTTTTAATAATAATAATGATCATTTGATTCATTCTTCATTATAACAGATAGAATAAGAAATATTAACACAAAAATCTATTAAAACTTGTTTCTATAAACAATACTGAATGTCATACCGAACTATTTAATATTGCTGAAAGATAATATTTATCAACAACGATTTCGTATAGTTTTCAACAAGTCACGAAAATATTACCAACTCCATCAACTACCATTATCAGTTGATTACTACAATATTATATTAAAAAAACATAGCCATTATGACAATATTGATCAATGCACAACTAAGTAACCTTGAAAAATTTTTTTTCTGGTAATAAAAAAAAAAACAATTTAAATAAACGAAAACATGTTCATCATAAACAATAAGCATGGTTCATTTAGTAGCAGTTATTTCACAGAATTTTAATACTACATTACAGTCTGTCATGGAGCAAAAGTTTTAACTACGGTATAAATTTGCTTCTGGCGACAATTTTGATGGATTGTTACGCCATCAATCAACATACACACATTTACACAAAATTTCTCTGTTGTTGCTTTCTCGTTCTATGGATGCGGGTTTCGTTGTCAAAGATCGACAAGCAAAAATGGTAACTTATACGTGCATCGACACGCGCTGATTGATTGATTGCGTCGACCCGTTGATGAAAAAGCATAAAAAAAGAAAAGAAAGAAAAGAAATCGACACTGTTAGCTTATTAGTTTTCTTTTTTTTTTCTTCACTGTTTCTATTATATTGTTATTTATTCACATTTTTGATCATCTCGTTTGGTTTCTTGAACGAATATGTCAATATGCGCTTGTATTTGTTTTTATAGTGTCGAATACGAAAAAGATTTAAGAAAAAAAGAAAGAACTTTTCTGTCAATTATTTGACAACGGAAGAATCGGTACTTTTCTCAGAAACTTATTTTATTCTTAGATCGATGTCTCAGTCGGCGTCAGGTACCGATGTGGCTGCGACTAACAAGGATCTCGATCAACATGTAGATGGCTCCGTCGATTCCAATGGTGATTATCAAATACCCACAACAGATTATGAAAAAGGTCTGTTATTATTATCTATTACTTCTTATATAGATTTTACCTTACATTGTTATGAAACTAATTTTTAAATAAGTATAAAACATGATTCATATTTTAATATTAACCATTAGAATTGTATGAATCATGTGGTTCTATCAAACATAATTTTTTTATTGACATTCATACGCATACAGGCAATTGCAGTTTTATTTGAAAGACATTTGTACTCACGAGCGAGCGTATGTAACTACGAAAGAGAATATGTGATTTTTTTTTTATTCTTGAACAAAAAGAAAATACATCCGATACCTATATTGAACATTTTTAGTAAACTATTTAATTGTAGTTCGAAAAAGAAAAAGAAACTTGCATACGTTACTCAAGTTTGATCGTCGTTCATCTATAGAAGTTTTCTCATTGAATATATTTTGACCAAGTCAGCAACCAAATATTTTTTTTTTGCTGTCAATAAGTTACTTTTCGTCATGACGAAATATAAATATTGCATTTGATATTCGAAGAAACCTTTGAATATTCACAATCATTGTGACTTCTCTTATAAAAACAAAAAAGGAAAAAGTAATAGTCATTTTCCTTTTTTTTAATCACTTAAGAGTTGAGTATTTAAAGAAATACATTAAAAGAAAAACATTTTCATTTATATTGCTATGATGCACATTTATTTTCTTTTATAAAATCAACCCTTGTTAAAACGGAATAACTTTTCATTGAAAAAAAAAGAATAATAATAATAATAAAATAATGAAACTTATTGGAATTTATGAATGTCATATAAAATTACAAAATAGAAGAAAAGGGAAAGAAGTCAAAAATTTTCTATCAATATTCATCAACTGGTCGAATATAATAGATAGATGGATTTTTAGTTGATTCTAGACTTCTATGATTTCCATTTGCTAATTGTGGAGATGATGCATATTGTCTTGGTGGAGGATGATTTTTATTATTTCGTACAGATCGGGGAACGTTTTCATTAGAATTGTATTTGTCATTCGATGGTACCGATTTGCCTGGTGGTAGTTTTTTATAAACTCTTCTTACAACGGTTGGTTCAGGTTCAACATGATTCCTTCGTTCCATAGGTTCAATTTTACGTTGTTTTCTACGTCCATCATCTTGATAAATCACGTTAGGTGGTGGAGTAGTCATATTGCGTGATGTTGGAATAGGAGAATCTAATGATGAACGATGATTATAAATAGGTTGTGCTTCAATATGATACATTTCAATATTTCTTGGTGGTGTTTGAGAATAATGCGCATTATCATGTCTTACTCTCTGTTGTCGTTCAATAATTTCTGTATCAGAATTGATTAGACGTCTTGGTCCTGAATGTCTTATTTCAGTTACTGGTGGTGGAGGTGTTTGAGCATGTCGACGTGCAATACGAATTGTACGTGCTGGTGGTGGTGGTGGACCCATACTCTGAACAACATAACGTCGAGGAGGTTCTGCTGGTGGAGTATAGTTTTGAGGCAACATTTGACCTTCTTTATCAACATAGTAATATGCTTTGTTACGCGGTGATGATCGATGAATAATAACTTCTTCCGATGGTGGAGGATTACGTCGAACAATTCTTCGTCGAATAACAATTGGATTGTCAATTGGTTCTTCACGAATAACTCGACGTGACCGAACTGTTGGTGCAGGAAGAACAGATTGACGGATAACACGTGGTGTTCGCTCGTCATCTATTTCATCTTCATATCGATCCTATGATAATATTAAAGAGAGAGAGGGAGAGAGAGATTAAAAGATATTAGAAATAGATAAATTTACTTGAATATAAGGAGTTTCATTATTATTTGAACGATAACTAAAACCATCATCATGGTTTGAATAATAAACTTGTTTTCCTGGTTGTTTACCTTCACGAATCTCACGAATAGCATCTTTATCACATATTTCACATAAACCAGTTTCAGGATCGATTATATGTTTACCGTAATGACCCATTGTTAATGATTCTTATTCGCAATATTGGTGTACAAATAATCTTTGTTGCTTTTTTTTCTTCTTTCAATAATTCACTATATAAATAGTCATCGTTTCATTTATCGTATTTCTACTTTTGTCTATATTTTTTTTTGTTGTTGTGCCAACAACTGTTTGCAAAATTCAACAATTTATTCACTTGTTCGATTGCAACGACTTAGAAGCAGCATGAAAGCTATCGCTCGTCATTTTTTTTCTATATTTTTGCTCGATGGCTTCTATGCACTTTGCATTATTCCGTCTTTCTGTTTCTCTTTCTCTATCTTTCTCTCTTTCTCTCATACTCTTTCAATGACTTAAAAAGCATGACTAAAAATACTGTTAAAAGAACGAGAGATCGACTATCGACTATTGACTTTCGTTTTCTTTTTCCCTTAGGAAACAATTTGAATTTTAAATAGAGAAAGAAAATAATAACATGTCTTCTTACTCTATTTTTGTTTATATATAGCCCATCCATTGAATGATACGGATGATGAAACATCATCTACACCTCCATCCAAACAACAGCAACAACCTGGTTTGCTTGAAATAAAAACAAAAACAAAAACCATATAAAAGAAATATTGTTTGTTTTGTTCTTCATAAAAGGTTCAGCATTAGGTACATCAAGTGATGAACAAAAAGAAGTTTTTAATCTCACATCAACAACAGGAAAATCACCACTGCTATCTAAAAGACGAAAAATTCAAAGTACTACTCCATCAAGTCAAAAAAAGACGCCTAAAAAATCGACTACGTATGAGAATAAATCAAAGAAATAAAAATATAATCATATTTTTAATTTTTAAGAATAAGTGTTCAAACAGAATGGACATGGAAAGATATGGAAATGCTCGAACAATATCGAAGTATGTGTTTGTATTAACAAAAAAGAAAAAGAAAAACAAAGTAAATGTTTGTATTCTATAAAAATTAGTTCGAGAAGAAAAACCTGAACCGGTACCTGTCGAAGAAGAACGTGAAGAATTAGAACGAGAAGTTATTGCTGAACCAGAAGTACCAATTCCAAAAGTTTCAGAAGTAATTAACACCAATAAGAAATTAACAAAACAATATTTCTTTTTTCTAAAGACACCTGAACAAGCTGAATCGACTATTAGTTCATTACCAGAATTGCCAATTTTAACATCTGTTGGACCACCACCTATTTTACAGGTTCAATTAAACTTTTTTATATTGTTTTTGTTTTCGTTCTTTTTGAAAGATGAGAATGAATCATTTTCATTACAGTATAATCCTGAATCTAAACAAAAATCATTTGATATACCTCGAACACATGAACAAGCCATTGAAACTGAATTACGTGAATTGGGTGTACATATTCATGGACATGTTCCATGTGAATTTTGTGGTGAACCAATACTTAAATGGCCAACAATTATTGAACAAGAAAAATTTGCACCAAGTCAAGTATGATTTTATTAAATAAATATATCTGAGTATTTCTTGTTTTTTTTGATTTAGTTATTTTGTTGTAGTGAGTATCGTGAATTTGTTGAAGCTGTACTTGAAATGCAAAGAGAAGAGAATCAAAAACTTGATTCAAAACAAATTGATATACAACCACATGCTAAAGTTCGTAGTCGACGTGCTCGACAATTAGCTGAAGAACGAGCTAAAACAAGGTTTGTCAATACAAAATATTCTCATACAATCATTTTATGTATTTGTATATATATATGTATATATATCAGAGTTTGGGAACGTCATATGGCTGAACAAAAACGTCTTGAAGAACAAGCACAAAAATTAGCACATGCTACACAATCAAAATCTAGTGATTTACGTATGTAAATATTTCAGTTTTGGTTTTTTTTTGTGGTCTTTTTTTTATCAATTGAATCCTATCAGAATCAGGTGGAAGTACTGATTTCAGTCAAGCACCACATAAATTAATGGACAGACGTGCAGCAGCAAAAATGATTCAGGATGACTGTATATATCTAAATATTGTTTGAATATTTGTTTTCTTGATAATTATCACATTATCTCCACAATAGCTTTTATTCCTATATACACATTCACTATTGTGTGTAGTTGATGTATACATACACTTGTGCAGGACGTCAAGCACATAACAATACAACACGAAAACATAATACAATCACAGCAACAAACAGACAGAATGACGGAGGAACATCGATTGATGCAGCTGAAAGTATAATAATAATAATAATAATAATAATAATAATAATTACATTAAAGCTTTCTATTGTGTGTGTGCAACTTTTGCTTGATCCCTATTTTTCCCTGTCCATATAGTGGATCCATTTTTCCGAGATATATGTTTAACTAGACATAGTCGGAAAAAGATAGGATTCTGTATTATATATATACATACAGGAAGGGCACAACAATCAAATTCATATCGTGGTGTTTCATCAGTGACTAGTAGTTCACCATCGCCGAGCACTGCCGAGCCAGGCTCGGCAAGTAAGTGTACTTGCTTTACTAATATTCATTTACTAATCATTATTCTGTGTGTGTTTGTAGCTTTATATATTTCTAATTAATACTAATAATATTATTTTAAATGATAGTAAACAAAGTAAAAAGAAACTTCTCTTTGTTCTAAATGTAGTGGCAGCAAAAATGAGAACTCTGACATATCAATTATCAAATTTAAAATTTGTTGAAGAAGGTTGGACATTACAAAGGCCACCTGATTTTGAAATAAGTTCAGATGATGATTCTGAAGATGGAGAACATATACTTGTACCAAGAGATCTTTCGTCTTCGATACTTAAAGTAATATACTATAAAATCATTATTGATATAATATAAATATATATATATATATTTCTTTTCTATTTATCGATAGAGATATGAAAGACCATTAATTCAAAGATTTTATAAAGACGGATCAAAAGCAGCTATTCTTTTTCCAAATGGAACAGGCTGTGTTTAGTAAGTTGTAATGTTTGAGAAGCTTTTTTCAAAAACTTTTCTTTCGTGTCTTAAGTTATCCATCGGGTAATTTGGCTATCAGTATCTCAGAAGTTGCTCGTGCTATGCTTTTATATACTGCATTTACTGATGAACCAACACTTTCAGCAAAACAATTAGCACAATTTGATCCATTTGGAAATGGTTATTGTAATTTTACCAATGGAGATTTAAGGTATGAAATTTTATTATTAATTAATAAATATTGAAATAACTAACAAAAAAAATTGAATCTTTCTTCTATTCAACATAACGGATAGTGCAAAAGTTCTAAATTAATTTTGTTTTGTAGTATAGTGTGACAAAAAATTCGTCGTAAAGATTTGATATTTTTCTTATTAGGAAAAGCACAGTCTCGACTACAAAGTTTCGTTCAAAATATTTACCGAAGGTTGAAAATTTTTAAGGACATATTTGATCAGAAAAATACCTTACAATTTCATACAAAAACAGTGATGAAAGAAATGCATTTGATTGATTTGTCTTGCACTCAACTTTTGTAATCTTTAGGCAGATTACGTATGAATGTAACTAACACGACATAAGCTTTCTAGTGATATCAAAGTATTGAAATTAATAAACCATATATTCCATAGGAAATTGCTTTATTAAAAGCTTGATTTCTTCATCTACAAAGTTCATCGAAGTTTTTTTTTGATAACATTTACTATTCTGTTTTATTCAATGTGCTGTTGAAGAGGGCTCATTAAATTTTATGAGACATAAAAAATGCAATTTCATTCACTTCGGTTTTTGGAAAAAAATAATATTTTTTCCAATTACTTATTAGGCTATCTGAAGTCGATGGAAAAATATTGATTTTGCACTCAACAGATGACTTGAAAATTTTATTTTTTGTCTGTTTACAATGTCCTATCTTTATGCTAGAAAATCCGATAAACGACAGAAAATAAGCTTAACTTTCTTAATCAATGGAGATTTCATTTTGAATATCAAGAGTGTAGAAAGAACTTTTCTTGTCAAACATGTTCTGAAAACTTTTCAGCCTTCTATAAGTATTTAATAGATCTGCAACTGTTCTTAGTTCCATGAACTGATTTTTTTTTGAGAACTAAGTCTAGTTAGTAGTTGGTATTTTTGAGAATCGTGTCCTTCTATCTACGCATTAAGTTTTGGTTAGATTCGTTCCAGCATATTTGTGCAGTTGTGAAACATGACCCAGAATAGAGTAATTATAGATATAATTGATAGGTTATAATAAATTGTCTAGTGGCATCAGTTGTTTTAGAATGAACTCTTGACATAGATCAGTTTCTTTTAAAGAACTGTTGGAATAGTTCCCAAGATCGAAACTAATACAAAACTGTCGTAGTTTTAGTAGATTAAATAAAATATTTTTATACACCTTTGTAGTTGAGACTTTGCTCTTTCTGATGATATAACAATCAAGTCTCCATCATGGTTTGTTATCAAGTCATACAGACAACAAAAATAATATAGAACTTTTGCATCATACATTGTGTTCGAATAGTAAGGCATTTAACATATGAATTTCACAAAAAAATAATCTTTCATAAAAAACTTGTTCATGCTTTTTTTTTTATTTATAGATTACAATTGACAGCACTTGAAGGCGTAGAATTAAATTTTGATGGTGGTCGACGCCGTCGTTGGAATTGGTGGACAAAAGTGAATACGTCTTTTGAACCACACGTACATGCACCACCATTTCAACCAATATTATTTCATTTAAATAATGAAATTGTTATAAAAATTTGTTCACAAGAAAAAATTTATATGAAATTTTCTACTGAACTTGTTGAACTTAAATTTAAAGTTGGTGCTAGATTAAAAGTAAAAATAAAAAAAGAATATGTTTCATTGTTTTCTTTTTCTTCTTTTATATTCTTATCTGTAGGTAAATAATGTGAATAATTTACCATCAACACAAAAAAATGATCCATATGAAAATCTATTAAAAAAGAAAAATATTATTATAACGTAAGTCTATTCGATTTATTGTATTTCATAGTGTGTTTTTTTGCTCAATCATATTCGTTTTTATTTTTACAGACGTTTATTAAAAAATATCCAAAATGAAGCCCAACAATATATTAAAAGTCAAGAACAAATGCGAATTTCTCAAGAAACAACTTTAATTAATCTTGAACAACAAAAACGTACAAAACAACCAATTAAACAAAGCTTATTTCCACCTATACGGCAAAATGAAGAAAAAATTCAAAATAATCGAAAAATTTATCGCAGTGTCATAGTCACGTAAAAGCCAACCATTTTGACCTTGCCAATTGACTACTGATAAAATAACTTTCCTTTGTGTGTACGTAGTATGTGTGTCTTTATCTTTTCTATTACCCATTTCTCTCTCTGTCTCACCCTTTTCTAAATAAACTGAAGATATTTAATCTCTTACTCGAATCATTTTGTTTCATCATTGTATTTTAACTGACATTCATACAGTATCAAACGCAACAATGCGATTACTTTGGTTTTATACATTTGCTTTAGTATTGATCTTTGCATTTGCTTTTCGTAAGATTTTTCTTCATAAATTTTATACATTACTTTTGTATCTATTATATAGAGCATGTACATGGTAATGAACATAAAAAACATGGTGCTGGAGCAAAAGGCATAAGTCCTCAAAGTGGTAATCAAGCTAACCGTTTACCACAAAATCCTCCAGGTGGTGGTCATGCTAGCGGATCTCATGGTAAAGACCAATCACTATCACCTAATCGTGGTAGTTCAAGGGGTAGCAGTTCTTCATCAGGCCACCATAGCGATAAATCAGGTCACAAGAAAAAAAAACATCAAGGAAAAGGTGGCAAACATCACGGAAAAGGTGGCAAACAACATAAACAAAAAAAAGGCGACGGTAAACACAAGAAACATTCTAGTGGCTAGAGACATCAAAGCAGAAGCTAAATTCATCATCATTAACTTGATTTATTCTTTTTATTATTTTGTAGTATTCAAAAGAAAGCTTTTTTTTAATCTTTAAATTGAAATACAGTCACCATAACTATCTTCATAGTAACCATTTAAACATTTACAACGTGAAAATGTATTACTCAATTTTTGACATGTAGAACGTTTAGTTGGACATTGAAAATAGCCTTTGTTGCAACATAATGGTGCGTTATGTACCATTAATGGTTCTTCACCTAATCGCATATCACCACAATATGCAATTATATCTAATTTATAAAATTGTCTAAAATAATTTGATCTTTAAAAAAAATATAATTGAATTGAAATTAAAACTTACGTTGTTTTGGTAATTAAATGAAAATTTTTATTTCGAAATTGTTCATTTGTACGATTAGCCCAACCATATATCATTAAAGTTTTAGCAATTGTTTTAAACCAATCACTTTTACATGTTCGACATGTTATATTTTCTGAATAGAGACTTACATCAGTTAATTGATAACCATTTAAATGAAATAATTCTTTTGGAAATATGTTTATTGTTCGACTACCGAAATGAACAATTTGTATATGTGATAAACGATTTAAATTATCCACATAGCTAAGTGGAAAATAATTTAAACTCGTAAATATATGTAAATAACGTAAATTACTTAAATATTCTATTGATGGATAATCAATAAGTGAATGCATATCATCAAGTATTAATTCAGTTAAATTAGATAAATTTTCTAATGATGATGGTAAACGTTTTATATTAGTATGTACAAAACGAATAGTTTGTAATTGATAGGCATTAAGAAATATATCATCAGGTAAAATTGTTAATGAAAATTGTGTATGACTTATTGAAATAGCACGCAATGTACGGCAAGAAAATGCTCGTGAACCTATTGAATGAATATATGATGATTCGATTAATAAACCTAATAAATATTGTTGTTGATGTTGACCACATATTTCTCTATGAATATGAAGATTTGGACTTTTAGTAATTTTTAATGGTAATTTTTTTTCTAAAATATCTTTCGTTTGTAAAAGATCATTTGAAAGTGAATGAAGATTTGAACAATGATAGGTTAATGAATAACCATAGCTTCTTTTATAACGATCATAATCGATATTACAATTTTCAGTTGATTTTATTGGAATAATAAATGTAATGAATAGACAAAGAATAAAAATAATCCACTGAAAGAACATTTGAAAATATTGTGAATATGTGATGCACTGCAACTCTTTTTTTTTTCTTGTTTTATTTTTATTGATGTCTGATAAGAGATGATGAAAATGTTTTAGGATGAGGTCATTGATTATGATAAAATATGATGACAATTAAAAATTTACGTATCGCATGAGACTTTTAAAGTTCATTTACATGATTCAGTTACATATGTTCAAAAGACAATGATCAAACATTTATTTTTTATATTTTTTATTTTTATTCTCTTGCTTATTTTTTTATCAATCGAGAAGACTGATTGATTTTGTTTTTCCTTTTTGTGATGTTTATCTTCAATGAGTTGAATTACTCTCAAGATCATCACAGTAATTGAGTATAAAACGGATAGTACTATGTACAATGTAATTTAATACTTGATAGAAATAGCACCATCATTTTTCGACTAAGATATTGTGTGAAAAATGATTAGATAAACAAGGACAAAAAGATTTTAAAGGGCAGATAAAGAAACAATGTGAAAGAGTAAAGAAGGGAATCGATTTCGTGGTTTATCAAATATGGGTATGTGATTTCAAAAACATGATTCTACTGAGATAGTAATGCTTCGTTTTTTTAAACGGTTATTTGATCTTCATTTATCGAAAGTAATTATATAAACAAAATCTTTTTTTATTAATTAATGAATAACTGAAAAGTAAAAATTTAAATACTATGCTATAAGATTTGTTAAGTCATTGAAGAATTATACAGTAATCGATTTGTCTCTTTTTTATGCAAATAGAATTTGAACATTCAAGAGAATAAACATACAATAATAATAAAACAATAACAGACTATCAATAATAATCATTTTCGTAAGTTTCAGTCACTTTGGTTCTTATTAAAGTTATAAAAAGTATTTGTAGTGATTTGACATTGGCTCGCTCATGTACCGTCTATGACCAAATTAATCTGCGAAATAAATATTTGTATGCTGTTTAACATTCTTCTATGAAACGTAATTTATATTTTCTTGTTTAATAATGAAAATCTATTCGAATTGAATAATTCGTAAAGATACTTGTTAATAAATACAAAGTTTTCAAAATGCCCTCTAGTTATTCTTTCATGAATATCTTTTATACAATTCAGGCAAATTCAGCTGCCTTTGCTTAATAATCTAATAGTGAATTCTTTCAAATTTTAGTGCATACGATTTCGTTGATAATAAATCTTCAAAATAATTACCGTGAACTGAAATATCTCACACCATCGTTTTCCAAATCTTTAAAAAAACTACAGAAACCTTTCTGGTTTGAAGTAATTCATTTTCAATATTGATTCTTATTTTGAACTCAATCAAATCTTTATGTATGTATTACAGACATAAGTTTTCACATGATATTTATCAATAAAAAAAGTTAAATGAAAAGAGATAAAATTTGAAATATTGTAATCGTTGACTTTTAAACTAACTAGTTTTCAAAATTTGTTCTATGCATATCCATATAATTAATATCATTCATAAAATTTGCTTTGCTTTACTTTGCTTTGCTCTGATTATTCTCTCAGATGACATTAATGTTCCATTATACTAACAATAATATTTAATGGTAGTATGTTTTTACCTTATCCGTATGAAAAAAAAACTTTGAATAAATGTCTACCATCAATGAAAAAATCAGCCTATTTGATTTCAACCGACTCGGAGATATTTTATTTCTTTTTGTTGTAGTTTTATTTATAGCTCATCATGTCATTTCAACTTGATCTTGTTGGATACAGTGTATTTTATATAGTGCTTCATTGCAGAATATTCCGTCATGAACATCATCGATTTTCTCTTTTGTAATTTTTGAAGACCTTTCATATTGTCGTTCATTTAGCACTATACTAATCCATAATAGAAATTCTTATACAGTCTATATCTGATGTTGGTATGCCAAATTTTAATCGAATTTTTTATTACATAACGACACGTAACTCAAATTTGATCATTATCAAGATTGTTGCTATTCGTATATTTACAAACATAGGTATTTGTCTGAAAATATATTAGAACAAAACTTCAAAGTATATACTATAACGTTAATTAAAAAAGAAACTATTTCAGAATTATTCTTGTAAACTTTCCAGACAAATTCTCGAGACATGGTATAAAAATGATAATATGTTTTTGAGAATGAATACAAGCTCAGATGTTTTTAGAACAAAAATTTATTTATATTGATTTAATTCTAAAATTTTTGCATGTATATATTTATTTATTTGTTGGAAATCAATAGGAATAATCTGATAACACAAAGAAAAAAGAAAAGCAGATAAATATACATAAATAAGATAAATGAATAAATAGAATAGAAATTAAGGATTTTTTTCTTTTCTTAATATTCCATATCGAATATCAATTTATTTGATTAACAATTTCCATAATTTCAAATAGAATACCTTGATTCACACGTGGCATATTTGCTAGTGCAGCATCAGCTTTCTCTTTTGCTTCTTGTTTTGTTAAATCTCCACGTAATAATAAAACTTGTGTAACTTGATCCATATTTAAACTAGGATATTTTTTTGCTAATGTTGCTATTTCAAGTACAATTGAATCTAAATCTGTTTGTTCAAGTACATCAGCTATATTACTTAATATATTAAAATGATATTCAGTTGCATTATCAGCTGATGTACCATCCCATGATTTAAATTCTTTATCAAGGTGAGCTGATTCTCTACGTAATTGTTCTGCACCTGTACGTCGTTCAGCTGGTGTAGAAAATTTAATAGGTGCATTACGTGAAAATAAATTTCGTAAATAATGAGCTAATATACGTTTATGCCATGTATAAAAAATATAAGCTAATAAGGGTTTTTTTAAATGTGTTAATTCTGAACTCCAATAATCACGTGTTGTTTCAATAATTGTACCACAACATTGTTTAGCTGTTGGACCAAACCAATCACGTGTAAAAAGTATTTTAAGAAATTTCAATGTATCCATTTCAATTTCTTGTAATATAACATCACAACAATATTCAGCTGTACGTTCAAATTTTTTTCCCATACTTTCATAACGATCAAGTTGTTGTTGTGATGAACGTGATAAATCATCAAGATCATCACGATCATATTTTTTTCGTACGATAAGTACAAAATTTGGTATTGATTCACAATTATTCGCATTTGCTACCATTTGTTTTGTAAAATTTTCTTTAAATGATTGTCGATCATTAAAATATTTTTTAGCATAAGCATTTATTTCATTAATATATAAATCACGAAATTCATTTATTTTTTGTAATATCATACCAAGAATTAATTGACATGTTTCATCAGACATTTGTTTAGCCATATCAAGTGTTTCTATAATCATATTTATTAACATACGGGGCATTGTTGTAGCATAATAATGTTCAGATGTTAATTCAACTTCTTTTAATGCATACCAATCCTAGAAAATAATATAAGATAGATACGATATAGATTATATTCTAATGCATTGATTATGAAAAATTTGTAAGAATGACAGAAAATGTGTGATTGCTCATCGAAGCTTGAAATCGGATGTATATGTCAAAGGAAAACAGTCGATTGTATTAAGTTTCAATCAATACCATCACAGTCAGTACTCATTCAATAGCGGTGAGTTACCCTCAATTTCGTAAAATCCTTCGCGTAACTCCCTGGACCACTCTGTGGTTTCATACAGTAATACAGAGAAAAATATATTGAGCGTCTAGTCTTCAATAAAGTTAGAAGTTCAGCAGTATTCGTAACTTTTTTAGAATGGCAATTTTTCTAGGATTTTAATTGC